CAAGACCTAGATATCAAAGGTGTCTTCAACAATATGGTGCCATTGGTAAAGGCTGCAGAATCAATATGTGAAATAATGTGTTTTAGTCTGGAAATATATAAACTAAAAAGTTTCTGTATGTCCTAAGAAGCTTCACGAGCCAGTACTCAAAGACAGGTAACTCAATGGGAGAAAATACTTGCACTCCACATCTTATAATGTGTTGATATCCAGAATTTATAAAATACTCACTAAGATCAGGGAAAACTATATGCCATCAAAGAAAATTGGTCGAGGGACTTAATGAACACTTCTGAAGAAGAACAACATGTGGCCAATTGGCACATCACTGTCATCATCAATTGTTTTATTGTTTTAGTTTTAAAGTATACTTTCAATTAGCTAATGAGCATTCTCCCATTTTCCTATTTTAGTAGGGTTGGCTACTTGAGTTGTTTTATGACTAAAATACAAACATTATTATTATTTTTTACTTTTAAAGGTCTTTTGTCTTTTTAAGTGACTATATTCATGGTGTAGATTTCTTACCTCTTTTATTATATTGATTCCCTAGGTACTTGATGCTTTTGAAACTTTTTTGATCAGTACAGATTTTGATCAATTTCTCTTCTAATTTTTTATTTATATATGCATATGCACAGATTTTTCTGCATTGGTGTTTTATTTTTTTAAACTTTCCAGCTTTATTTTGCTTGTTTTTTATTTTTACTTTTTTTTAACATTTTTCTACTAATTCACCATGAGGTGCATTAAAAAAATAATCATTGTCTGAACTTTGATCATACAGTCATCCCTTCCACTAAGAAAATCCCCAGATTCTTCCTCTCCTCCATTCCATACCTCCCCTTGCCTCTATGGCAGACAATTTGCAAAATATCTTTTCTTTACTTTAGTTACCATTGCTATTTCAAGACCAGTCCTACCACCCCTCATACCTGCCGAAAATGCAATGTTAGACAATGTGTTTTGTTTTGCTTGTTATGGATATAATATAATGTCATGCGGCTGCAGGAGCGGCTGTGCACTCAAGGAATTCTATGATTTTAATAGTTATGGTCAGAAGAAATCGCTGCCACCAGTTGCTTGGGTCCAAAATTCATTTGTGTGACTCTAGATCGTGTACACGTGGGAGGTTACGTAGATTGTGGGTGGATGTGACATCATCTCGGCATCTCATTGGGGTGGGGGAAAGTCCAGCCCACTCCTCCCCTGTCCAGTGAGACTTGGGGTTTGCCATCACCAAGTACTCGTACTGGTGCTTCTCGCTGTCTTCTAGAAAATGGCGACCTCTGGAGCTCTGCGAGGGTAGGTGGAGGGACAGAAAGCACCCACTCCTGTCTGGAGCAGCCAAACGGAGAAGGCCTTTTGCAAAGTCGGGCCATCTCTAGTGCAAGTTGTTCAGGTCCTGGATTCATCTGTGTATCTCTGGATTGTGGCCATGTGGGAGCTTAAGTAGAGGGTGGGCGGATGCAACATCATCTCAGTGTCTCATCTGGGCGGGAGGAAGGAGGGCTCACTCCTCCCGTGTCCCGCGAAACTTGGGATTTGCCATCACCACAAACTCATACTTGGTGCTTGCTGGCTTCTAGAAAATAGCACTCACTGGACTCTTAGAGGATAGGCAGAAGGACAGCACACACCCCTGTCTGGTGTAGCCCAGCGGAGAAGGCCTTTTGAAAAGTCCAGGGTCATCTTTGCTGCAAGTTGCTCAGATTGCGTTGATGTTTTAGCCAGTCATTTTTTGTATTTGTTTTATCCAGTGTAAACTCAAAAAAATGAGAGCAGCAATGGCTCTATCTCTTCTGCCGTCCGCATTCCGTAGTCTTATGCTGGATCCCCCACCCTGGGGATGTCGATGGCGATGGGCAGGCGAAAGAAGGAAGCGACGGCCAGGATGGTTGGTTTCAGTTGCAGTTTATTCCAATCCTCTCTCCATCCACTCCTGTCTCTTTCCTCTTCTTCCCCCATGCTACTTCATTCTCCTTCTTGATCCCCCTTCATTCTCCTTCTGGCTCTGGAATCTGCATCCCATTTCTCCTTCTCCTTCTGGAGTCTGGATCCTGATCCCGATTCCCTTTCTTCTCTTGCTCTGGAGTCCGGATTCTGATCCCGATCCTCCAGTCCACTCTTACTGTCTAGTTATATCCCCAAACCATGAGGGGTTGGGGCTTACACATAGGTGTGGTCACAGTCAATAGGGGTAAAGTCCTTTCCCTCAGGGAAAGCAGCTTCTAGGACAGATACTCTCTCATCAGGAAGACCCATCCTAGAACGGAATCCCCTGGGTGTGTTTCTCCTCTCCTTGTCCAACAAACATATAAGACTATCTGTCCTGAGCACTATAGTCTGAGATCGAGATGGCCCTGTGAAAGCAATTCTATAAGCTTAAGGTATTTCTTACTGTATTCATACAAAATGATTTCAATTATACAATGATTGAGTACCCATCCCTCCAGTGCCCATTCCTCACCTCCAATGCTCCCAGCATCCCTCCCACCCCCACCCCACACCCTGTTGTGATTCTTATGTTATTTCCTTTGTATTTGAAGTTTTTTTTCTCTCAATACTTTTAGTAGTTTCTCTTTTCCTCTTTTTTTTACCATTTTGATTACCATGTGTTTTGTTGTTCTGTTAGATTCTGTTTAGTTTAGATATTATTCTCATAGTATTTTTTATATCCGCAAATGTGTGCTACCATTCTGTATCTCTCTCTCTTCTGACTAATATCAGTGAGCATGGTACTCTTCATGTCCATCTTCATATAATCAAATTTCATGACGTAATTTTTCCTAACAGCCATGTAATGTCCCATTGTGTAAATGCACCATAGTTTCTTTATGCGTTTGTCTGTTCTTGAGCACTTGGGTTTTTTCCAGATTCCAGCTATTTGGAACAATGCTGCAATGAACATACAAGTGCAGATTTTGCATTGTGTTTTGGTGTCCCTAGTACATATTCCAATGAACATTGATTCTGGGTCCTATGAAAGCTCAGTTTTTAGATTTTCGAGTACTGTTCATGTCATTTTCTTGAAACACTGGACCAATTGGCATTCTCATCAAAGTGAATGAGAGTCCCTTTATAACCTCATCTATGCAAGCACTAGTTGTTCTTTTGATGTATGCAAATCTCTATGGTTTGAGATAAGATCTCATTGTTGTTTTGATTTGTATCCCTCTGATGATAAGTGATGTAGACCACTTTTTCTTTTTTTACCATTTACATTTCTTCTTTGAGGAAGTTTCTGTTCATTTCTTCTCATTTCATGGGGTTTTATGTTTTTTTGCCTTATGTATCGTGGATATTAACCCATTATCAGGTGAATGTTCGGTAACTAATTTTTCTCATTTCATTGGTGGTTTTTGTATTATTGTCTTGATTTTCTTCTTAGTTACATATTGCCTCCAGAAATAAGCCATGTCTGAATTGTTCATTTTAAGTGAAGAAAAATAGTTTTCATTGAAATACATTTATAGAGAGAAGCAAAGGGGGAGAGTAAGAGAGGAGTATGTGTTTAATATACAACTTGGGCTTCTCCAGAGTTAAAAAAAGCCTATTTTAAAAAAATAATCAGTAAATTAAGTCTTGTGTCATTTTATGTGTTGTACTGTTGTTTATACCACGCCGTAAGTACTTAATGAATCCAATTTCCTGTGAACTAATATAAGCCTTTAGCATTGATTTCCACCATGGTGCTAAGAAAACTGCAAAGTGTCAGAAGTAGTCTGTGTTAAACAAGTATTGGTTGTGGCACTTTGACAGCTGTGTCATTTTCAGTTGTTCTGGAAGAAACCAGAAATTATAATTAATTCCATACTGAAGAAGTCTTTTGTAACGCATGTAACTTTTCAACTCTTGCTTTCTAGTCAAACCATTCTTGATTTTCATCTCATGTTTTGCATAATCTTAAAAATTTCATATACTTTTGAGGGTGTACTTTCATAAGTTCTGGCCTCATTTATGCAAGGTGTGTCCTCAACCTATTGTGCTATCTCTCTGTACCCTTCAGCAACAACATCTTCGAATATGCAGTTGTGAAGTAGCAATATAAAAATCCATTTTTACAGAGAGAGATTTCTATCACCTTGTATATATTAGTCTAATTTATTTATAGGTTAACATTTTAAAGGCATATATTGGGTTAATAATTATGATTCTTTCCATGTAGTAATGTACCTCATGGTGTTTCACTAATAAAAAAATAAAAAAATAAATAAATAAAAATAAAAATAATTATGATTCTTTTTCCTCCTTAAAGATGAAGAAACTATATATACATAGAGTAATAATCCTTTGCTAAAAAAAAATACAAAGTCATTCAATTTTATGTGGATGGATCTAGAGAGTATCGTGATAACTGAACTTAGGAGTGGATAGATACTGAATAATCTCTCTCATGTGTGGAATATAAAGAGGGATAGTCATTTGTTATTAGAGAATAACAATTGATCAGCACCAACAGAATCTGAGAACTGATCTACAGAACTAAGTTTGCTATATTGGAGAGATGTGGATAGAAGGTGGACTGAGATGGGTCAGGGATGACACAGACTATGGTGGGGGGAAGCATTTACTGATGAAAAGTGTGGTATTGGAACTTCATGTTCATGAAATTATAATTAGCATTACTCCAATTGATGGTGTCAAAATGATATTTTCAAAATCTAGAACAAGAAAAGAAATATTGGAAATAAGGGGACTAGTATACAGAATCATTTTAAATGTCATTTCCTGGATAACAGCAACTGGATCCTTTAGTTGTAACAACAGTAATTATCCTTTATGTAGACTTAATAACTCTAAGTTAAATATGAGGAAACTGAAACTGCTAAAATTTATGCAAAAGTAAATTCTATATGTTTTCCTAGGACCTGGAGATATTATTCACATACAATCAGATACTGGTAGTAATTAAAACTGTAAACATCCATTTTAAGATATATATCCTAATATATATATATATATAATATTAATTTTTGATTTCTTCCCCACAACTGTAGGAGCGCAAAAAGAAATTTGAAAAGGATGGTGAGAGATTTTATTCCATGCTTGATCGACATTTACATCTGTCTTCCAAAAAGAAAGAATCCCAGTTGCATGAGGTATGTTCAAAAAAACTGTTGCACTCAGAAATCACTTCTGCTAGGGCTCAGGAAACCTAATGGAATTTCTGGGATTGAACACAATTCAACTGCTTGCAAGACAAGCTCCTACCCACTCTACTATCTGTCCTGCTCCTCCTATTTTTGGATAGATTTCCATATTGCTTTCCATAGATACTGATTTATATGAAATTCTCACCAATAGTAGGTAAGGAATCTTTTCTCACCACACACTGCTACCACTGGCCATTTCTAGACATTTTCAGTTTTGTCACTCTCACAGGCATGAAATGGCATTTTAATGTTGTTTTGTATTTCCCTAATCATGAGTGAAGATACATTTTTCACATGCCTGCTAGTCATCCCTATGTCTTCTTTGAGGAAGTATCTGTTCATCTCTTCTCCCCATTCTGGATGAGGTCCTTGGATTTTCTTTATGAAAATGTTTAATTTTAGATATCAGTATATTATTTGATATATTGTGTGCATGTATTTTATCCCATTAAGTAGGATGCTTTTATTGTAGCTTGATATATTTTTCACAGCATAAAAGCTTTTGATTTTGTTTAATCCCATTTGTTTATTTTTGTTTTTGTTTTCTTTGCCACTGTGGTCAGCTAATTGAAGACTCCTCTGTGATTCATTTCCTGGAAAGTTCCGCTGATGTTTTCTTCAATGTACTTTATGTATTCTGGTCAAATCTCTAGATCTGCTGCTTTGTCTGTTTTCAATTTACTTTTTTAAATGTTGTGAGTTATTGTTACAATTTTTTACATGTGGATATAATTTTCCCTGCACTGTTTGTTGAAGAGATTTTCTTTGTTCCACTTAATAAGTTTAGCTGACCATAAAGCTGGGGGCTTAACTCAAGACTGATTTTTTTCCCATTTTGTCTGCAGGTATATTTCTACACCATGTAGGCAGTACCATGCAGTTTTGATTGTTATGGATTTGTGGTATAGCTCAAATTTGGGAAATCCAGTGCCTCCCATCTTCTTTTCCCTCCTTAGAATTGCTGCGACTATTTTGGGAGCTTTATGGTTCCATGTAAATTTTAGTAGAGTTTGTTACATGTCTTTGAAAATAGTTACTAGAACTTTATGTGAGCATTTTTTTTTGCTTTTTGTTTCTTGGGTCACACACACAGGGGTTACTCCTGGCTCTGCACTCAGGAATCACTCCTGATGTTGCTGAGGGGACCCTGAGCAAGCGCCCTAAACACTGTGCTATCATTCCAGCTCCTGAAAAATGTTGCTAGAACTTTAAAGGGTAAGCCATTGAATCTATATAGTACGTTGTTTAGGACAATGCTTAGGACAATCAGTCATTTTTAAAATAGGAAAAATATAGAGAAAAGTGTCTGCCTTAGAGGCAGGATGGTTGGGGGCAGGGTGACAGGGAAACTGGTATATTAGTGGTAGGAAATTTACACTGGTTGAAGGGATGATTATTGGAACATTATAATGAATTGTAAAGAAACAAACTAATGAACTACTTTGTACTTGTGTATCACATAGTGATTTAATTAGAAAAATGAAACGTTGATTCTTCCAATTTATAAACAGAGAATGTCATTCAATTTCATGGTGTCTTTCATTTCTTGTAGCAGTGATTTATAGTGATCATTGTAACAGCCTTTCACCTCCCTTGTTAAGTTGATTCCTAGGTATTTGATGTTTGTAGCACTGGTTTTCAAAGGTGATACATTCTTAATTGTTTTTTCTGGTTCATTTTTATATACAGTAATGTCACTGATTTTGTGTATTAGTTTTGTAACCTATTATCTTACTGTTGTGATTTTTTTCTAGGAATGGTTTTGGTGGAATCTTTAGGGTTTTTAATGTATAGTTTGTCATATACAAATAGTGTTAATTGGCTTATTCATTTCCAACTTGGAGGCCTTTGGTATAATTTTCTCATCTGATTTGCTGTGGCAAGGATTCCAAAATTATATTGATAAGAGTGGTGACAGTGGGCATCCTTTGCTTGATCCTGATTTCAGGTTAAAAGCTTACAATTTTTACCAGTTAGCATGATATTCGCTGTGAGGTTTTTTTTTCTTTTTTTTGTAGATGGCCACTACTATTTCAAGTTATGCTCTTTCTATTCCTACTTTTAGAGGTTTTTTAAAAATCAGGAATGAGTGTTGAATCTTATCAAAAGCATTCTCTACATCAGTTGATATGATGATATTTAACCTTTCTTTTTGTTGATATGGTATTTTATATTAATTGATTTGCATATACTGAATCCTTGCATCCTTGGGATAACCCCCATTGATTTAGGTGTATAATCCTTTTGATATATCGCTAGATTAGGTTCTGTAGGATTTTTGAATATACTTGTATTGATGTTCATCAGGGATATTAGCCTATAATTTTTTAGTAGTTACTGTTTTAGATTTGAATGTAATATTGGCTTTATAGAAACTATTAGGGAGAATTCCTTTTTCCTCAATATTTTTGAAGAACTTGAAGAGTATGACTTTTATTATCTACTTCCCTCAATTTTCTTTGGTATTTATTTGTTCTTTTTCTAGTTGCTCTGGCTGAGAGATTAGTCATTTATCTGATCTCTTTATTTTTTCCTGATGTTGGTGAATAGGTATAAATTTTTCTCTTTGTATTGCTATTGTTCTGTTCTGTACATTTTGGTAGTTGTTGTCTTTATTTATGTTTGTTTATAGGAATCATTTGATTACTTCTTTGATTTTCTTGTTGCTCACATTGTTATTTACAGTATACTGTTTAGCTCCTAGTGTTTTATCTTTTTGATACTTTATTTATATAATTGATTTCTACTTTTTTTACTATGTGATTGGTAAGACACTTGGTATGATTTCTATTTTTGTGATTTTATGATTTTTGAATTGTGTCCTAGAATGCCATTATTCTGTATAATTGTCTTTGAACCACTGACTCAGGTCTCCGCCTGTGTTGATTACAGGTGTTCAAGTGTGTCTTTTGTAAGTAACAGAAGATTGGGTTTTGTTTGCTGATACATTCAGTATCTCTGTATCATTTTATGGAGGAATTAATTCCATTCACATTTAGAGACGTGAAAATTTGTGTGTCTTTATGTGGATATTTGTTACTTATAATATGTAATATTACCTTTTTATAATATGTAATATTGCCTTTTTGATGTAATAATTTAATTTGATCATTGTGAGATAAAGAGTTATAAAGTTTTTCATGATTGACTTTCAGTCATACAGTGTTCCAACACCTACCCTTTCATCAATGTACCTGCCACCAATGTTCACAGTCCCCCCCCCCCAATACTTATATCTATGGCAGATGGCAGACACTTCTCTGTCTCGATTTCTCTCTCCTCTCTCTCCCCACCCCTCTCTGTATGTGTGTGTCTCTCTCTTTTCCTTTTAGGTATTCTGGTTTGGATATTTTAAAATAGTATTACCTTTTTATTTGTGACGCTTTGATATCCTTACCAGGGCCAATCAATACATTTTAAAAATTCAAGTATGTCCTCAAATGTTGTTTGAGAATGTTTTCATCTCTTTTTACGTATACTCCTAGTGATCGTCTTTCTGGGTAGAGGCTTTTTGGTTGGGAATTGTTTTCACTAAATTCTTTGTATATGTTATCCCATTCTTTTGATTGTCTAGTTAAAAGTAGGAGAAGTATGCCATTGATTTGATACTCTGTCATATGTCTGTGAGGCTTTGCATCTGTATTGTGACTAAGGAATATGTCTCTGTCTTTGATTCTCACTATTTGATTAGAGAACATTATTATGTAGTTTTGTTTCATTTTACTCTGGTCTGTTTTGGTAAGGCCGTTTGGATATTTGGTCACATCTTATTCTTCAGGTAGGGAAAACTATCCCTAGTTTTCTCTTCAACTTGTCTTCTCTTTTCCTTCTTCTGGGATTCTTCATGATTTTTCATGTCATTGTTAGTAATTTTCCTTATGTTCTCTCCATTGTTTTTCTCCATATCTTTACCAAGAGGAAACTCTTCTTCCTTGGTGTGTTTTGTTTTCAGTATCTTCGAGTGTACTTATTCACTTATTTACTTTATATTGCTTCTGAGGCTTCCTACTGCATTTTAAGTTCCATTACTTTTATTCATCCAATTTATTTCATTTTTCCATCAAGCTAACTTTAATTTTGTTGATGTGTTGATTCAACATGATGTTCTGAAAGTTTTTCAGGCCAATTACAGAGGTATGATGGTATTGTTGTTGTCTTCTATTGTTAGTGTTTTTATTTTTTCTAATTGTCTATGATCTTATGTTTAATTTTCACAAGGATTAGACTGGACTAATGTGTGCATGTGGTATTATTTGGTTTTGAATGGGAGTTAGTAAATGTCTGGAAGATCTTGGTACCTTTGCTTCCACTGCAGTTATGCTTAGAGAGCAGTTACACTATTTTTATTGGTGTTGATAAAGTGTAGTTGCCGTGCATTTTGAGGTTTTTAACTCTGATAGTAATCCTGGAACATGAAATCCTCCTTCAGAACCAAGAGGTTCTTTAAATTAAAAAAGTTTAGTCACTATGATTCACAATTTTGTAATATTGCCAACTATACTGTTTTAAGAATACAATATTTTAAACCCCCCCCACACACAATATTGTCTGTTTCCTGTCAGAGGAGTTTTTTAAATTTTTATTAGTGAGACATCATGAGGTACAGTTGTAGACTTACAATTTTTTTGTGCGTGGGTTTCAATTATACAATGATCAATTACCCATCCCTCCACCAGTGCCCATTTCCCACCACCATAGATCCCAGTATCCCTCCCACCCCCCATCTCTCCCATCCTACCCTGTCTCTGTGGCAGGGCATTCCCTTTTGTTCGCTGTCTCTTATTAGGTGTTGTGGTTTGCAAAAGAGACAATGGGTGACAATCATGTTTGGTCTATAGTCTACTTTCAGCATGCTTCTCCCATCCTAGGAGGATCCTCCCAACATCATTTCTTTGGTATTCCCTTCTTCTCTATCTGAGCTCCCTTTTCCCCTAGCATGTGTGGCT